CGCGAACCGTGGTCGACTACGTGGGAGTCCAGCGACATAGCCATTACGCTAACTGCTGGTTCCCTTGATTTAATTCTGTAATCAGGGTTTTGTTTTGTTTTCTTTTGCTTTTTGTTTTATCGACTTTCTTATTTTTTTTTCTGTTTTTGTTGTTGTTGTTGAAAAGATTTTGCTATAGAGCGCATATGCTCACCAGAAAGGAAGAGATATAAAGCGAGAAATCATCCCCCAGGGGGAATAACCAAGCCACAATCTCTTCTCTTTCATTCTTCTCTCAGGATTTTGGACATGCACACACATGTGCCCAGTGTAATTGTCAAGCCACAGGATCCAGGACTTGAATCACATGGTTGGCAAGTCCAGCACCTTAGCCATTACAACATCTATTGGCCCCTCTCCATTGCTTTTGAGATGAAATTTCCTTAACATAACCTATTAAGTTAAAATACAGCCTTTTTTCACTTTCATAGCCTCACCTCTCAACATCTACTCTCATACTGTATGATTCAGCTACTTGGTCAGAATATTTCTTTCTTAATATACACCAACCCTTGGACTTCTGCTTGTGGTTTCTTTGCTAAATTTTAACACCTACTTATCTTTCAGGTCTCAGCAAAGATGTCACTTCCTCTAAATGTGACTCCTCATCCATTTGTATTACAAGCCTACTTTTGAATTCCAACAGCACTCTGCACTGCTGTTACCTGGTGGCCGTACTGTATGCCTGACACTGGGCACTGCACTGAAATGTTCAGTTAACTAATTGATTGAATGAAAGCATATTTACTGATATCATTATCAGTAATCGCAACATTTGGTATTACTGTGTTTGTAATGGCACTGGGTATCATTTATGTATCTGGTATCATGGCTATATGCCCAGCACTGGCCACAGTTCTGAATTAATTAATTAATTAATTGATTGATTAAGAGACAATAATCAATGTCAAGTGACTTTATGAAGGAGATTTTATATATAACCTGAGATAAGATTCCAGTTTTCTTGATCTCTGTGTAATGCTCTTAACCTTCCATATTCTCACTATATGACATTCAACCATTTCTATAAAATTACTAAAATGGGGAATGAAAACAGAAAGGGTAGTGTTCCTAGAACTGGTAGCCTTCACATTTTTGAATTATCTACACAAAACCTCACTCTTTTCAATGTGAAAATTTTGATTGTAGTTGTGTGAGTATATATATGTATATGTATAGAAATGGATCTACTGGGACCAGCAGATGGAATAATGGTTATGTTGCTGGGCTCCCAGATGGCCAACCACAGTTTGAATCCCAGACTCAGAGACTTGAAACTCACTCCAGGCATGTATGCATGCATGCCCAAACTCCTGAGAGGAGAATAGAGAAGGGATTGTGGCACTGCCATCCCCCTCGGGGTGTGATTTCTCACTTTCTGCCACTCTGTCTATCCTAGCAAACGCACATAACCTATAGCAAAAATCTCTCTAAAAAAAATAAAATAAAATAAATAGGATCATAAAATCCATTTATCTGTTCACATTAACAACTTTATTTTATTTATTTATTTATTTTTGGAAAGGTTTTTGCTACAGGGCGCATGTGCTCGCCAGAAAGACAGAGAGATAGAAAGTGAGAAATCACCCCACCCCAACCCCCAGGGGATGGCCAAACCGCAATCCCTTCTCCATTCTGCTCTCGGGATCTTGGGCACACACGCACATGCGCCCAGCGTGAGTTTAAGCCACCAGGTCCGGGGCTCAAACCACAGTCGACTACATGGGAGTCCAGCCACATAGCCATTACGCCAACTGCTGGTCCCCACGTTAACTTTTAACTATATTCACACCACCAATCCACTGATTACCACTTTCTCGACACCCACCAGTCCTCTTTAGTCTCATTCCCTTCATTCCCTTCTTCATTCCCAGCATAGATTCTATGGCTTGTATTATTCCAAATACCCTCAACACCTATTCTACTCTTTTCCCACCATATTCTCCTAAGAAAAAAACCATTCTGACTAAATCCTAGACCTTCAAACCTGTGTCTGTAGCTGGAGAAAACTACACAACCATGTGGACTAGTTTCACTTTACACTCAGGGCAAGAAACCTGTAAGTAGACACTCAACACCACCTGGTCATTCTACTGCACTTCTCCGGTTTGCATGTTCTCTTTATTTCCGTAGTACTAGTTCACAACAATTTCTTTTAAAATTTCTCTTATTGAATGAAGCCTGACTCTCGTTAATGGCTATGAATGCTTGGTAAAAATTACATCACTACATCAAAACACACTTCTGAATAGTTCCTTACAACACAGTCTTTATGGAAGTTGTGTCTTTGATCTTAAATGCAAAGAGTTAATCAGTAATAATCATCCCTGTTTGCTGTCCATTCTTTCCCAGGAAACTTCACAATTGATGCCCTCACTTCATGATAAATTGAAAAAATGAAAGTAATAATAAATTCTTTACTCTTTTCGCCTCAAAGACTGTAATCCATAGTGCATCAAACATAGTGAGTTCATTCTTATCCTCAGCAATTACTGTTTGGTCTAAATTTGTCTTTTTTTTTGGTTTCTTGTCATCATTAACTTCTTACCTCAAATATCACTTTCTTATAACTCTTGACCCAACTTCATAAAGTTAGGCTTTCCAACTTACTCTATTATTCTTCCATTAGGATATAAATTACTAGCATACTGATTTTTGTTCTAGCGTACAAAATCAGTATTGTATTTACTAATACAACCACAATTTCCAAGACAATGGTAGCACATGGCAGACAATCTCTAAATATAAGCTAAATGGACAAACATCTGTTTATCTGTTAAGTCTGACAGCAGAGACCTTATATGTCTTGTCCATGTCTAAATCAAATAATGCCTAACCGTAAGTCTGGCAAATAGTAGGTGTTAAATATATGCTGTTGAATAAATGAATTAATATGGTTCTTCAAAGCGAGGTATTTAAAGTAGAGCAGAGAAATAAGGATTAGAAAGAACTGAAAGAATATGAAAATTAGAAGCAAAACAAAATGATATTCAGATTCATTATACTTAAGGGCACATCATCTAGTAAATGGCTATGAATGCCTGCTAAAAATTATATCACTACATAAAAACACACTTCTGAATAGTTCTTAGAACACTTAATCTTTATGAAATTTGTGCCTTTGATCCAAAATGCAAAGGAGGTAATCAGTAATAATCATCCTCTTTAACAATTTCATAATCAGTGACAAGATAACTACTTCTTACATCTATCTACTTGAGTCATGCAAATAAGCATTTATGCCATCTATATAATATAAATGTTAGACTAAAAGACCAAATTAAATCTTCTTAAAAATCTGAGAGAGAAGTTTTCAGCTAGGAGAAACATTCATTACATGGAATACTGTCTTTCAAGCAGTTACATTATTGAATACAATTTTTGTTTCTGATATAGTAACTATTAGATATTAACTATTGTTTTTTTTCAATATACAAGCATAAGAATTTAAAATATGATTACCATATGTAAGCATAGTATTTTGATAAGATCTGAGGATACAACAGCAACTCACAAATAGATTATTATATATATAACACTATGAAAAATGAAGGATGAAAGAAATATGCATAAAGTGCTCTAGGAGATCCAGGAGAAGAGCAATTAATTCTGAAGTGATTAGGAAGTGATAGAAAGAATAAAAAATATATGAGTCATACACTAAAAGTGAAGAGACAGTCTAAAATGCAATTTTTTCCTTTTTCTTTTTAAGGTTTATTTCTTTCATGAGAGTAATAGAGGGGAGAGAGGAAGAGAGAGAAAGAAGCACTCTCAACAGAGCCTCACACTGAGATCTCATCCCTTACTCCCAACCTTCCCAGACAGCCAGGATCATGAGCACGTGCACCCACTGTGTACAGGTGGGCTGGGGAACCAAACCCATGATCTTCCACATGGATCCAGCATCACTTGAGTGGTGCATTACTGATGCACCACCAAGAGAGCCCATAAAATGCAATTTTCTCTTTAACAGTTCTCCAGTAAATCTTTAAATCAGTGCATCACTGTATTGTATATAATCAATAAAAATTATAAACACAGTTACAAAAATGTAGAAATTTTTCAAACAGAGTATACCTAGTCAGATCCATTTAAAATAATTAAATCTCCCATTAATAGGTAAAATAGAGCCATTTAAAATTACTTCAAAAAATTACTTCAAAATCATAAATAATTTCAAGAATTAGACTAGGAGGGAGTCTTCTGACTCCTAAACTATACT